TTTTACTAAATTTGTCGTAATTTTGTCTCTTGACAGTCTCTAAGTAACATGCTTTACATTGCTACTTCTTGTGTTTTAAATTGTAGGTACTATTTATTGGTTTTCTCCTCCTCTTCCTCTACCTTTTCCTCCTTCTCCTCCTACTACCATGGAGGAAATAGCATGGTGGCACATGCCTGCACTCCCAGATACCCAGGAGGCTGAGATGGGAGGATAATCTGCGCCTGGGAGGTCAAAGCTATAGTGAGTCTTAACTGAGCCACTGCACTCCAGCCTGGGCAAGTGAGACCTTGTCTCAGAAACAAAACAAAGCAAAACAAAATCTTAAAGCAAGAGCTTTTCTGTGACTTTTTAGCTTAAGGTGGCTATTGGGTTAATTAGTTCTGTGATTTAGCTGCTACTGAGAGGCTACTGTAGACACTGGGAGTGGGATTAAGAGGTGCAAGAGCCCGGTGTCTTCCTTTAAGATAGCATGGTAGTGGGGCCTTGCTAACTGTGGGCTTAACTATAGGGTAGTCTGGCTGTGCCATTTTTGGGGGGACACTTCTATGTCTGTGTCTTCAAGACTTTTCCCTTAGTCCAGTCCTGATGTCCTGGAGCCAGATGGGAGAAGACAGCTGAGTAGCCTCATCATTGTTATGTACACTTGTACAGTTTCACTTAAGCTCCTCCTTTTCAGTGTAATAATCCCAGCCACAACTGTACTTAGTCTCTCCCAGGATAGAGACCCTACGTTTTATAGTCTTCAGAAATAAACCTCTAGTTTTCTCCCAGGGTGAGGAGGGTTAGTCACCTAGATCTATATGGCATGGAAGTGGAGAGGATCGGGGACTGTGTTTCTTTCTTTGTTTTTAAATTGTACTTTAAGTTCTAGGGTACATGTGCACAACATGCAGGTTTGTTACATATGTATACATGTGCTATGTTGGTGTGCTGCACCCATTAATTCGTCATTTACATTAGGTATATCTCCTAATGCTATCCATCCCTCCCACCTCCCCTTACCCGACAGGCTCCAGTGTGTCATGTTCCCTTTCCTGTCTCCAAGTGTTCTCATTGTTCAATTCCCACCTATGAGTGAGAACATGTGGTGTTTGATTTTCTGTTCTTGCGATAGTTTGCTGAGAATGATGGTTTCCAAGAATAATGGTTTCCAGCTTCATCCGTGTCCCTACAAAGGACACGAACTCATACTTTTTAATGGCTGTGTAGTATTCCATGGTGTGTATGTGCCACATTTTCTTAATCCAGTCTATCATTGATGGGCATTTGGGTTGATTCCAAGTCTTTGCTATTGTGAATAGTGCCGCAATAAACATACGTGTGCATGTGTCTTTATAGCAGCATGATTTATAATCCTTTGGATATACACCCAGTAATGGGATGGCTGGCTCAAATGGTATTTCTAGTTCTAGATCCTTGAGGAATCGCCACACTGTATTCCACTATGGCTGAACTAGTTTACAGTCCCACCAACAGTGTAAAAGTGTTCCTATTTCTCCACATCCTCTCCAGCACCTGTTGTTTCCTGACTTTTTAATGATTGCCATTCTAACTGGTGTGAGATGGTATCTCATTGTGCTTTTGATTTGTATTTCTCTGATGGCCAGTGATGAGCATTTTTTCATGTGTCTGTTGGCTGTATGCATGTCTTCTTTTGTGAAGTGTCTGTTCATATCCTTTGCCCACTTTTTGATGGGTCGTTTGTTTTTTCTTGTAAATCTATTTGAGTTCTTTGTAGGTTCTGGATATTAGCCCTTTGTCAGATGAGTAGATTGTGAAAATTTTCTCCGATTCTGTAGGTTGCCTGTTCACTCTGATGGTAGTTTCTTTTGCTGTGCAGAAACTCTTTAGTTTAATTAGTTCCCATTTGTCAATTTTGGCTTTTGGTGCCAGGGGACTCTGTTTCTTAAACTGATATTTGGCAACAATTCTTTTGCTTTAATTCCTTCTTCATCACCACTTCTAGAGATACCATATTCTGCTGATTCTTGAGCTATTTGAAGGTTTTGCAGAAGAAATTGAGTTGTTTTCAGGCTTCACCTCGGCGGGACCTGCCACATATTTATTTGTTTTCCTGTTTCCAAAATTCTATTGTTTTTTTCCTTTTTTTGTTTTCTATTTCCTTGAGAGTCAATTCCTTAACAACAACAACAGAACTGTTTTTAATGGAATTTCAGGAAGGAGCCAATGCAAAGTGTGCATTCAGCACTCCATCTTTGGCTGGAAGTCTACATGAGGAGACTTTTCTTTCATTTGTCTCTCTCTGAACTTTAGTAGTTTTCTTGGCCAGGACTTCCCATTGGCCAATGAATTATAACAACAGTGGTGGACTTTAATTGTATGGGATAGAAGGGTAGGGAGAGCCCATAAGTAGGAACTAGGAGACTTTTTTCTAGTCTTGGCTTGTGTCACCTTGAGTAAGCCATTTAACTTTTCCGAACTTCAGTTTCTTGAGGGAGATAGATTAGGTGGTGACTAAGATTCCTTTCAACTTAAATGGTATGATTCTGTATAAGACAAGTAATCGCACATATAAGTCAGATAAGGTGATTTTTTTTTTTTTTTTTTTAAGACAGAGTCTCACCCTTTTGCTCAGACTGGAGTGCAATGGTGTGATCTTGGCTCACTGCAACTTCTGCCTCCCCAGTTCAAATGATTCTCCTGCCTCAGCCTCCCAAGTAGCTGGGACTACAGGCACCCGCCACCTCACCCAGCTAATAGAGACGGGGTTTTACCATTTTCACCAGGCTGGTCTTGAACCCCTGACGTCAAGTGATCCTCCTGCCTTGGCCTCCCAAAGTGCTGGGATTATAGGCATGAGCCACCACACATGAACAGATAAGGTGATTTTTTCCCCAGGACATTCATCATGAATGTTTTTTCTGCCCCTGATGTTGAGACCTTTTGCTTCTAGAACTGCCTATGAGTCCCACCCCATTTATCCTTGTGAGCCTTCCAAAAGTCTGCCTTCCATTTGTTAACAGTGGTATTGCTCACTGTGTTGGGAACTACATGTTTGCACATGGCCCATTTATGAGAGCATTGCTTGCTTTTCCCTGGTATCCATTCTTATAAGTTGTCATTTTCACCCTTGAAAATGTGTTGCACAAAGATGAAAAGATAATTTCCAAAGAAATGGTACTTGCATTCTGATAGTTTCTTAGGAAAGAAGGATAGAGTGCCAAAATTTTAATATGGAATAAGGAAGACCAACTTAGATACAAAAGGGGCAAGAGCTTTTCTGTGACTTTTTAGCTTAAGGTGGCTATTGGGTTAATTAGTTCTGTGATTTAGCTGCTACTGAGAGGCTACTGTAGACACTGGGAGTGGGATTAAGAGGTGCAAGAGCCCAGTGTCTTCCTTTAAGATAGTGGCTCTCAATTATATCTGTACATGAAATCATGATGCCCAGGGCTCCTCCCCAGACCAACCGAATAAAAAAACATCTGGAAGTGGAGCCTAGACATCTGTATTAAAATGAAATTCCCTAGGTGATTCTAATACACACTTAAGGTTGAGAACCATTCCTTAACAGCTGAGAATTAAAAATATATACATTAATTGCTGTAGACATAGCAGAATATGATTAGCTCTATGATGAGTGACAGAAATTATGGCCCAGGAGTTGGAAGGTTTTTAATTAATAGGAGACATTAGGAGAGACTACATCAAGGAGGGGAATTTTGAGCTGGTATAGTCTTCATAGGTGGAAAGTAGAGAGTCCACTAGGCCAGGGAGTGAATGCTGTGAGGGGCATCTCTGGAGATTTGGAAGACTATTTTGATTGGAATATGGTGGAAGTAAAGATGGGCTGGTAGGCTGCAGCCAGAATGTGGACAGTCTCTAGTGTCAGACCAAGGAATTTTAGCTTTACTCTGCAGGTCGCGGGGAGGCACTGAGGATTTCTAATGAGTGAAATGACAGTGCTGAATTTTTGAAGATTGATCCAATGGGAGTGATGGATAGGTAGTTTGAATAAAAGGAGGCAAGAACTTGAGGAAATGAAGACCAATTGGGAAGCTACTCTCATGGTCCAGATGTGGGATCGTAATGCTCTGAGCGAGGAAAATAACCGTGGAATTAAAAATGATGATAAACATTTGTGTAGTGTTTTCATAGTCAGTTCTTGCCCATATCTCATTTAAACCTCACACTGACCTTGTGGTCTTTCCTTACATACTTTATAAATGAAGGAACTGATGTTCAGAGTGAAGCTGTTATAAAGGAACCTTACGGAAAATGGAGGGGCCTGATTGGATGATGACCAATCAGTAATAGGAAAGTAAAGGGTGCATTGGAGGTGTTGGATTGGGTATGAAGATGGTAGAATTCCTCAGTGGCTAACCCTGTCCAGTTGCCGGCTGTGCTGTCAGAGAGCCTCTTAATGCTGTTCATGTGACTCTTCTTGCCTCTGTCCTTTAGTATGCAGTTATTTACTTATTTATTTATTATTATTATTATTTTTTGAGACAGAGTTTTGCTCTTGTTGCCCAGGCTGGAGTGCAATGGTGAGATCTCGGCTCGCTGAAACCTCCATCTCCCAGGTTCAAGCAATTCTCCTGCCTCAGCCTACCAAGTAGCTGGGATTACAGGCGCCTGCCACCATGCCCAGCTAATTTTTTGTATTTTTAGTAGAGACGGGATTTCACCATATTGGCCAGGCTGGTCTCGAACTCGTGACCTCAGGTGATTCACCCACCTTGACCTCCCAAAGTGCTGGGATTACAGGTGTAAGCCACCGCTCTCAGCCTATTTATTATTTTTTCTGAGACAAAGTCTTGCTCTGTCACCTAGGTTGGAGTGCAGTGGTACTGTCTGGCTCACTCCAGGCTCCGCCTCCTGGGTTCAAGTGATTCTCTTGCCTCAGCCTCCTGAGTAGCTGGGATTACAGGCATGCGCCACCATGCCCAGCTAATTTTTGTCATTTTATTAAAGACGAGGTTTTGCCATGTTGGCCAGGCTGCTCTTGAACTCCTCACCTCAAGTAATCTGCCCAAAGTGCTGGGGTAACAGGCGTGAACTACTGTGCCCAGCCACAGTTACTTCTTTAAAGGCACGGTGGAGACAAGCAAAGGAGAGGCTGTTGTTAGTTCAACTTGTCTCAAATGTGAATCTTCAGGCCCTTTTTTGAATGTCTTTGGGTTTTCAGATAGTTAAATAGTGTTGAATTTTAAAAGGCTTAGTCTAGGTATGGATAGTCTGGAGTTAGAGGGCTGAGACTTTCTTATCCAGGTGGACTCTGCCCTGAGCAGGTTAAGTATGACTGGTGGGTTTCCATTTCTCCTGTAGTGGAGACAGGAGCCATAGGGAAGATAACTCTGGAGCATGGTAGTGTAGACACCAGAGAACATCCCTGTGGCACTGGTAACTAGGATGCTTCATTGAGATTACGTCCTTATCAGAGCTGAAGTATAAATCATATCTACCACCATGCTAATTCATTTTGTTCATGAGTCTGCTGTGTCTGTAAGGTTGTCTGTTTTATGAACCAAGATCCTGAAGCAATTCAAATGCCAGTGTAAATCAGCCATGCAGTGGACGAAATGTGCTTTTCCATCTGAGATATTTGTTCCCTGCAATCAAATAGTAGGAGTGCACCAGAAAGCTAAGGGTAGTAGGAGGTAAAAAGGAATGAATCATCATCATGAAGAACCTTGATTAGATTTTTCCCATGAAATGGAGACGTGAAGGAGCAGGATGGAGACTGGAAAAGAAGAGGAGGTTGAATTTTTGTGCCCCAGGCATTCTCAGTTCGGGCACAGAGATGAACACTCATCTGCTCCAGCAGGGGTGAGGGTGAAGCCGATTTTGTTAATTTGAAATGGCAACATCCATAGAAAATTAAACTGTCACATTTTAACTGTTTCTTTTTTCACTGTAGAATACTGGGATCTTCAGTGGCAGGAGAAGGAGTAATCAGAAGACGGAGATGAATTTTAACACTATTTTGGAGGAGATTCTTATTAAAAGATCACAGCAGAAAAAGAAGACATCGCCCTTAAACTACAAAGAGAGACTTTTTGTACTTACAAAGTCCATGCTAACCTACTATGAGGGTCGAGCGGAGGTAGGAGACAATCACAATTTACTTTGCTGCTTTCTGTGTGGATAACGATTTTATAATATTGCCTCCCTCTCCAATCTTATTGAAATTGCTTTGGGTTAATGAAGTAATGATTTATTATCATTTGGATTTGAAAGATGAAGTTTAGAATATAGATATAAATTAACAAATCTGTTAATTATAGGTTTATTATAATTAACCTACTGAATTAATCTATTAGATTACATTACTTTTAGATCCTCATGGAATTTGTAAGGTGTATTGTACATATGGCTCTCTCCTGTAAACAGCCTATTATGTATCAAAGTCTTCTTTAGCAAATATAGATTGTATCCATGTCCATTGCCTTATATGAATATTTCTTCATTATTAAGTAGAAGTTACTTAAAACTGGTTAGTGATTTGGTGGACTCAACATGTTATCGAAGTTGACCTAAAGCAGAGGTTTTAAACGTTCATTGTTTTTGTGATAAGCAGCTGCTACAAAGTTCCCTTGATGGCAGCAGGGAGAAAGCAGCTCACTAAAAAACCTGGCCAGTGAGCACATGGCACAGGTGAATGTATGGTTAGCACACTCCTGGCTTGTGGGTGGCTTAGCTTCTCTTTCCACCGCTAGATGAGGCCTTGAATGTGCGGTCACTTCTGGTTCTTTTGCTCCTGACATGTTGGGTGTGGCATTTGCTAGTACTGCCACGTACTGCCATCTCTGCTAGAAATATCCTTGGGTTCCAGGGAATGACCAGGGGCTGAGTTGCCCATGGTTAACTGTATGCTGTTATGCAGTTGGTTTCAGTGGACTGTTGGTGATCCTGGTTTAGTTTTTTTTTCTCTTTGTTTTGTTTTGTTTTTGTTTTTTGAGACAGTGTCTTGCTTTGTTGCCAGGCTAGAGTGCAGTGATATGATCTCAGCTCATAGTCACCTCCATCTCCGGTTCAAGCAATTCTCCTGCCTCAGCCTCTCAAGTAGCTGGGATTTACAGGCACATGCCACCACACTCGGCTAATTTTTGTGTTTTTAGTAGAGATGGGGTTTCACCATATTGGCCAGGCTGGTCTTGAACTCCTGACCTCAAGTGATCCACCCACCTGGGCCTCTGGGCCTCCCAAACTGCTAGGATTATAGGCATGAGCCACCGCACCCGGCCCTGGTTTAGTTTTAATTCTGTTTTTTTTTTTTTTTTTCTAGAGTATTTTCCTCAGAAGTTGATTTAGTTGTATTTTTTTTCTCCCACTGATTTCTCTGTGGTTTGGTTTCCCCCATTTTAGATGGAATGGCATTGTGTCTCATGATGGTCCTCAACTCTTAATTTCTGCTGTGGCTCGTCATTGTGACCTGTGGTATTCTGCAGGTTCATGTAACTTAGGACCATACTCCTTTATCGTTAAGTCCCCCAAATGCTGAAAACTAAAACCTCAAAACTCTTAGTTACAAAACCTGTGTGTGTGTATATGTGTGTATCTGTATGTGTATATGTGTGCAGAAATATTAATGTATTTGATTATGTGGAGCCGCCCTAGTCCCTGCTGGGACTATTATGTAATATATGGTATATGTGCTATATTTGCTTTGTTAAATCTAAAAAACTTAAAAATCCAAAAGTGTTTTGGACAAGGACTGTTACCAGAAATGTGAATTATTTTGAAACCTAAAACAGATTTTAAGGGAAACATTTACACATTTTTGCTATATGGTAATAATTTGTTTTAATTTGATTTTAATATGTAGTTGACCCTTGAACAATGCAGGTTAGGGCCACCAACCCTCGTGCAGTCAAAAATCTGTGTATAGCTTTTGACTGCCCCCAAACTTAACTACTCTAATAGCCTACTGTTGACTGGAAGTCTTACTGAAGACATGAACAGATCAATCTTCTGATTTCCATCTCCCTATCCCTGGAAGCTGCGATTCAAAAAAGAATGTGAGGGCCAGTCATGGTGGCTCATGCCTGTAATCCAGCACTTTGGGAAGCTGAGGTGGGGGGATCACTTGAGGTCAGGAGTTTGAGACCAGCCTGGCCAACATGGTGAAACCCCATCTCTACTAAACACACACAAAAAAGTAGCTGGGCGTGGTGGCGGGTGCCTGTAAGCCCAGCTACTCTGGAGGCTGAGGCAGAAGAATCGCTTGGAGTCAGGAAGCAGAGGTTGCAGGGAGCTAAGGTTGTACCACTGCACTCCAGCCTGGGCAACAGAGCAAGACTCCCATCTAAGAAAGGAAAAATAAGAAAGAAAAAAAGAATGTGACATGAGTAATCTCTGCAAATCAACAGGTTTTTCAAAATAATTTTTGTTAAAAACTGTGACTCCAGAAGTAAATTAGAACCACAGGGGCCATTCAGAAATAAAATAGCCCTAGAGATATTTAGTTTTATTGTTCATAGTTCTCCTATTTTCAATAGAAAAACAATGAGGAGGCTATTGATTGATCTAGTAACTGTGATTTGTGGTTTCTTTGTGGCCACCAAGTGCCACTAATACTCTGTTAAAACTCTCAATTCATAATGTCAGACAGAAGACATCCATCTTCTCCTTATTCCCTGGACAGCTTCTTCAACATGATGACAGCAAGCTTTTCTTGAAATTCTTCCTATTATGTAATAAACCTTTCTGTGCTTTTTGAAATATGCTGAAAATCCTATTCTAGATGACGAGAAATTCACTTAAACCATTTCCTCAGTCTAATTTTGTAAAACCTGTATTTCAGTTTCCGCTGTGGGTCATTCTTTAGTTTGTCCTCCTTTCTCTCAGGTAGTTAGTTAATTCATGTATATTTCCTCGTATTCCAATGAACTGAAAAAAGATCTTCCTGGAAGTTTATATTATTTGATCCTATTCAGGATAACACAGAGCACAGGACACTGGAGGTGTCATAAGTGATGTTGCTTTCTAGTCAGGGGGCTAAATGACACAGGGGACAGACCACCTGATGTTTCAGTGGAGGCTCTGTGGGATAATGAGATGGGAGCCAGGGAGGAGGAGTGCTGGAGTTTGATCAGGAAAAAGATCTACAAATAATAGTGAGAGAGAAAACGAGGAATCAATTTCTATAGGTTGAGATTTACATTTAAAAAATTGAAGTAGTATGTAAATTTGCAACTATTGTTAGCTAAGAAATCAGGAATTTTTAGAATTGGACTTTGGAACTCTTAATTTGGTTGGCTTTTTGTTTGTTGTACTGCCCAGCATGGAAACTGGCAAATAACTTACAAAGTTGAAGGAATGGGGAAACGCGTTGTGCCAGGGATCCCAACTCCACCTGCACGTTCAGTGATTCACTGTGACAGCTCACAGGACTCAGCACTGAGTCATACTCATAACTATGATTTATTACAGCAAAAGCATACAAAGCAAAATCAGCAAAGGGAAAAGGCAGGTGGGGCCAGGCGTAAGCTTCCAAGAATCTTATCCCAGTAGAGTCCCAGAAGATGTGTATAATTCCTCCAGCATCAAATTGTGACAACTGTGAAATGTTGTGCTATTAGAGACTCAGTGCCCAAGGTTTTTGTTGGAGGCTGGTCACACAGGTGTCCTGTGCCTAGTGTGCCAAGGTTCCGGACTGCAGAAGGAAAGCAGGTCCAGCATGAACTACATTGTACAGTTTGGGTACAGTGAGCCGCCTCATCAGTGTTGGGAATAGTGGGACCCTCTCAAAGTCCAAGTTCCAAGATGCACGGCAAGGATCAGCCTTGAAAACAGGCCTTTCTTGGGACAGCAGCCTCGAACCTGCTGTGTTAGCTCTTTTCTGCACATTAGTAGTAAAAATGATACAATCTATTGAGCACTAAGTACAAGTTAACCACTGTGCTAAGTACTTTACATGCATTATTTCCCTTATTTCTCAAAAAATTCTGTATTGAGTCTTGTTAGACTTAATTTCAAAATGCAGAAGTAAGGCTTAGAAAGATTAAAAACTTGCACAACATACAGCCTACAAGAGATTGCACACACCTTCCAGAAATTGCAGGTGTACTTCTTCAAAGCCTATCTTTGAAATAATCTTGATATTTCAATGAAAATTTGAAAAAAAAATCTAAATATCTGAAGTTAGCGCTCCATAATACAGATAACATTTTATTTTAAAAGTTTTATGGATATTTTTATTTGTTACTTTCAATTATAACTTTTTTAAAAAAATTTTCTTTGTGATAGAAGAGAATTAACACTTGAGAGGGTTTTTGTCCTGGATCTACCACTGTCTCATTGGACTTTATAAAATAATTTTCTCCAATCTATAGTTTAAACATTTTTTTGCATATATATTGTCTTTATACTTTCTTCAAATTAATTTTTTTTTTGAGACGGAGTCTTGCTCTGTCGCCCAGGCTGGAGTGCTGGAGTGCAGGGGCACTATCTCGGCTCACTGCAAGTTCTGCCTCCCGGGTTCACGCCATTCTTCTGCCTCAGCCTCCCGAGTAGCTGGGACTACAGGCGCCTGCCACCACGCCCGGCTAAGTTTTTGTATTTTTTAGTAGAGATGGGGTTTCACTGTGTTAGCCAGGATGGTCTCGATCTCCTGACCTCATGATCCGCCCACCTCAGCCTCCCAGAGTGCTGGGATTACAGGCATGTGCCACCATGCCCAGCCCAAATTAATTTTTAAATTTATAATTGACACATAATATCTTTTCACACTCTTAACTCCTCTGTTTCATCAGCATTTCAACCCCAACACACATCTGATCTGTTACCAGTTACTATTGTATCGGTCAGCATTCTCCAGAGAAACTGAACCAAAAGAATATATATAGGATACTGCGTATGTATATATATGTGTGTGTGTGTGTGTATGTACATAAAAGGAGATACATTGTGAGGAATTGGCTCACACAATTGTGGAGGCCAAGAAGTTCCACAATCTGTTCTCTGCAAGCTGGAGGCCCAGGAAAGCTGGTGATGTAGTGAAAAAAAAATCTAAATATCTGAAGTTAGCGCTCCATAATACAGATGAATTATTTTGAAACCTAAAACAGATTTTAAGGGAAACATTTACACATTTTTGCTATA